ATTATGATCACAATCATAAAAATCACATCCTCTACCACAAAAATATTTTTTACAAAGTGTTAAAGTAGGCTGAAAATATAATAAAATTCAGTGAATGAAAATGTGTTTTAACTTCTAATCTGGCAAGTGCAGGAGAGGGACTTTATGACTCCAGGCTCATTACGGATTAGGCAACTCAGTAAAACCTACAAGGCTGTAGTAAATTTTAGTAGTTCTAAGTTGGCCAGACCCTCTGTTTGTCACTTTGAGTGTCCGGTTGCCTGCTGTTTTCAGAGAAAGGTACCTCGTTAGCCACTGCCAAGTAAACAAAATCTATCGTTTCTCTAGGTCAGAAAAAAAATAATTAATATTTGAAACAAGTTGCTAAAAAGCTACTCATAGTCAACCACAGCACCTACAATTATAAAAAAAGGACAACTTTAAGGTCACCATTCTTCTAAGGCAAAATACAAATTGGCAGTAACAACTCCAATAACAATAGGAACAAACCCCTAGGTCTACTCTGAAATTGGTCACCCACATAGGAAGTCAGAGGCACACCATACCTGAAGTTACAAGACCTGTTACTGAACTAAGCCTTTGCAAGCTGACAAAAAACCAGAACTACCAGGAAACCAATGTTATCAGACATTTTAAACAAAAAGCATGTAATCTTGAAGGTCCTCTGGATCACATTTTATGTTTGGTGCTTAGAATGGGTAGAGATCTACACAAGCAGACTACAACAGAACAAAACCTGCTCTAGCTAGTCCTTTTATTTCTGTAATAATCCAGGAAAACCATAACTAAGTCTACTTAAGCATTTATCACCAACAAACAATTCTGACAGAACTAAACTATAATCATTCCTCCTGCAGGCTAATGATAGAATGGTTGGAGCTAAATGGTATCCCATAATAATTTTACGTGTATGAAGTGTTCCATTTCATTTAGTGATATTATAAAAGTGATGCATTGGCCATAACATTTACTGTTTACAATCTGCAGCAAGCTATACCCTTCTCAAGGGAGAATAAGTAATCAAGAAAACGTTATTCACACTATGTATTCGAGAAAAGTAGATCACTGTGCCAATTACAGACTCTTTCCTATATTAAGAAGGATGTATGCTAGCCTAGAGAGAGGGGAAAGAGAAGATTGGAGATCTGTTTGCTTCTCAACCAAAAAGGAGGTCATACATTCACACATTAAAAAAAGTTTTCCTTTAGTCCAGCAATGTCTGAAGAGAAAAAAAAAAATGCTAGTTTTGAGTAGCTGCTGAAAACACTTCATTATAGTGAAAGAAATCTTAAAGCTCTGAAAAACCATACAGTGACTCACAGGACTACAAACAGAAAGATCCAGAAGTAGTCAGATTGCAATTTTGTTTCCAGAGTATCCATTAGAGGCAAATATTTTAATGATAGCATTTCTTTAAAGTATTCTTTGTTAATATTGCTTATGCACCATTTTCCACTCAAAGATCACAGTGATCGATACAGGCTGTAATGAATGAAGTGTAACATCTCCAGAAAACAGATGCTACATTATTCATTTCACAGATAAGTAAATGCAAGTATGAAAAATTAAGTGACTTGTTCTAGTCAGAGAGCCAAAAGCACAGCTGTGAATCTAATCCAGATATCTCAGCTTCCAATGATCCATTAACCATTAGACATTAGTCCATCTAAAACAAAATGTAACCTTTCCCTCACATTTCACCCTCTTTCTAACAAAGCTAGTACTAAGGATGTTCACTTCATGTGGCTGACTTTTAAAAAACCAAAATATTGGAAATAAAAAAAACAAGCAAACAAACAAAAAAACAACCCACAAAACAAAACAAAAAACCCTTTACTTCACTGCATGAATTACAGAACTCCCAAATCCTTCACCGTAGGGCTCAGTTACCCATCTCAGCCCTCCCAAGAGCAGAGTCAGCAATAGCTCACAGATTTAAAGCCCCTGGTCAGGTGCAGGCTTGGTAGGAGGTATCAGGGTCACACATCATCCCAGCACAACATCTGCTGCAGTCCTGATTCACGGCAGGCACTTATATCTAGGAGCTGCCACTGCTGCATCCAAACAAGAGGAAGAAATGGATGGGATCATCAGAGAAACATACAGCCCAACAGCTGTTTCTCCACGTCCTGTCTCACATGGACAGTTACTTATCTTTCAGCTGCCTTCTTCAAGGCTCTCAGCACAGACACTGCATTGCAACAGCCTGGTGACCCAAAGCCCAGCAAAATTTTAAAAACACTCATCAACACTCCCATTACACTAAAGGCTTTCAGTGTGGTGGCAATTATGACTTATGTTGTCTCAGATCAGAACCTACTCTGTGCAGGTAAGCATTGGTAGAACACTCTCTGCTTTAAGAAATCCCTAATGGTCTCAGGAAGACTTCAAAGGCCGGCAAAGCCTTTAGGCAGGAAGGGAGTGTAGACACAAAACTACCGATGACAAAATGCCACCAGTCAAAGAAGGTTAAGGAAAATTAATATTATTTAGACATGACAGCAAACAATCACAATTTGATTGTCACCACTTACAACCTGAAAAACAAATTAGTAGAAACTTGAGAACAGCACACACAATTAATCAATTTTACAGCACATATTTTTCAGATGTTTCATAAATACAAAAATCTCCTTAAGTGTTGGAGTACTTATCAGATGTATACAGTATGTACTCACAGTCTCAAAGATTAGATTTGCAGAACGTATCAATCACTTAAGTATTTAAAAAAAAAAATCACCAAATATTTCAGATATCCATGTTTTAAAGCGTTTGTCTGAACAGACGACAGGAAACCTATGTTACTTTTAAAGCACAAGTAATGAGCCAGAGATTTAAAAGTATTGAAAAAATCCTAGTATTGAAAAATCAAGACCTGTTTCCTAAATTGCTGTGGTAAGTCAGAGGACAGATCTCAGACCCAAAACTAAAATCACTCACGTTTTCATTCAAACATACAACACTTAAATCTCAGAAATAAATTATCAAGATTATTAAGAAAGAACAAGGTCAAATATCACCTTATTGCAAAATGACACCATAAAACAAGGTGAATGAGGCACAATTTGTGCATTGCTATTGGGGTACTACAACTTGGCAGCAGGACATTAACTGTTCTTATAATACAAAGGTCAAGGCCATTGGAAATGCATCTGTATCAAAGCCTTTGAAAATACCAGTGAAGCAAATAAGAACATCCAAAGTAAGGATACAGGGTTTCAGTTTTATGTGAGTATATACTTTTTGTTTCCAGCATGACACATCAGGTTAGTCTGTAGTGTACTCTGAAACATATATGAATTTTAAAAATTAATGGATTTAATCCTGCTGACCCTGGGCACCACTATATTCCTACTGGTGTCTCACGAGCCACAGGCTTATAGAATTAAGCCTGAAGTAGCCCACTTAAAATAACAAAAAAAAAACCCCTACCAACAAACTCTTACATCACAGCTCCACCACAAAATTTTCCACCAGGCCCCAAAATGCTGCATTTAAATTTAATTCACAAATAAACCAGCAACTACAACACATTGAACAGGCACTCTAAAGCGAACATCGAAGTTCCACTTTAGCACTGCAGGTCTCTATGATACTTCTATGACTGTGGTGGAAACTTAAGAGCCCAAATACATTGTGCTTCGGTCCTCCTATTCCCATAATTCCATCAACTGACCTTACAAAGACAGAAAAACATTTTTCTCTTGTCCATCCTCTTTATCATAATATCACAACCTCCAGTTATAAACAATTCGATAAGATCCCCTCCACCAGCATTTTCTAAAGTCAAGTATTTTCCATTTTTTATTGACAAGTTGATTTGTTTCTTCCAGAAAAGTCTACTTAAATATATAAATCACCCTTGCTGAAAATCATGTTTCTTTAAAAAAAGCTATGTTTGTCCCCTGTACTCATTTTGTTCACTCAAGACAATCAGATTTAGAGACAAACAGCTTGGAAAACAAATCTTGTTGTTATATTATTACACCATAATTGTGGAGTTGGTAAAGACCACTATACAGCTACAATTTCTGTTCTTTAAAAGAAAAGCAGAACATCTGTTTTAAACAAATGCTAATTGTCCTCTTACACCTGTTTAAAAATACTATGCCTACTGAACTTGGATTCTATTAATGTTGCTATAGTTGCAGTCATAGCAAACACAGTTCTATCAAACAAAAAACACCAAAAACACAATCAAAACGCTCAAATCCACAACCAAAAAGCCCTTGGAAAATTGCACTTTTTTTTCTCTTCATTTTGGTAAGCTTCTGGAGTTTTATTGTATATATAAAAAATCCCACTGCCATTCAGTTCTTGTTTTACAGTCAAAGAAAACGCTGCTCAACAATCCCCATTTCTGCTTATTGGCAGGAATGCAAGTCTTCCATTAGTTTGCCTTAAAAACTGAAAGAGTGGATAAAGAGCTTAACAACCCTAAAATTCTCAACAACATAAAAAACTCGCAGCTCCCAGCTGGATATTCCAAAACAGACAGGGATTCCTAAAGCTCTTGGTAACAAAATACACAGTTCAGAGCAGTGCCATTTTGAGTTTTTAAGCTGTGTAGTTGCCCCGCTTTTTTCCACCGTTTTTCTTACCATATAGTTCTTAATATTAAAAACACACACAAAACAAACAAACAAACAAAAAAACCCTCACACAACCGGTTTGGGGTTTTTTTTTGCACCGCATGGGGAAGCATTGCACGTGGCGTCATAACGAAGCAACTTCCGAATGACAGTGTATAATCGCAGGGAAAACCTGTTGCAGTAGGGAAAGGAGGATCCCGGAGTAGAGGCGAAACCTCACGGCCCCAGGACAGCGCGTCCCCAGGGACACTCCAGTCACGACTCCGCCTCCGGGCGCCGTGAGGCGATACCGACCGCCGACTCCCGACAGCGAGCGGAGACCAAAACTTCCCCAGAGCTCTGACAAGCCTCCCAGGGCTGCGGGCGGCCCCGGCCCCGCCGAGCCCCCCGGCTTCCCCCGGCACTTACCGGGCGGTGTCGAGCAGCGGGTGCTTGGTACCCACCAGCTTGCGGACCTGCATGGCGATGTTGCTGAGCTCGTCGCTCAGCAGGCACCGCAGGCTCATGAAGGACGTCGGGTAGCCCACGATCTTCTCGGCCTCTGACACCACCTGGCTCCAGGGCGGGCTGCCCGACGACACGGACCGGAGCCCGCCGGTGCCGCGGACCCCGCGCCGCAGCAGGGCGCCCCACATACCGCCTCCCCGGGGAGTCTCCGCTCTCCCGCTACGAGCCCCGGCGGGGCCCTGCACGCCGAGTGGGCACAGACGAGTGCCCGTCACGGAGAAGCGACCCAGCTGTGCCCCGGCCGGCCCTGACCCGCGTTCCCCCCGGCGGCGGCGGCCGGAGCGGGTTCATTTTGCCCTGGGGGCGGCCATCTTGGGCGTCGCAAAACGCACCGGGCCGTAAAGCGCGGGCGGCGGGCGGGGTGAGGTATCTGGGTGCTTGGAGGGGGCGTCTCTTGTTTTCCTGCATCCTCAGCCCTCGTGGTGGGGAAAGGGACAGCGCTTCTCTTTCCCATTCTGTGCTTGTCGCCTCCCGGAGCTTCTGGAGAGGGAGCGCTGCCCGCGCCTAGCTCCTGGCTGGCTGGACATGTCTCACGGAACTGGATGTGCTCAGCCTGCGCCCAGGGTTGTGTAGACAGACTGGCGGAGAAGAGAGTTGAGGTTCACACCTAAAGTGTTCAACCTGTAGTCCTTGGCTACACAGTCATGTTTTCTATAAAACTTCTTCACTGTTACGGTCAGGCATTGGAATAGGTTGGAGTCACCATCCCTGGAGGTGTTTGAGAGGCGTCTGGATCTGCTGCTGGGTGATGAGGTTTAGTGGTTTAGAGGTTACAGTGGTAATGCTCGGTTGATGGTTGGACTGGATGATCTTAAAGGTCTCTTTTGGCCTTGATGATTCTGTGATTCTATAATTGCAGTGTACAGGTGTTTATTTTTTTGTCTCTTCCCAGAGTTGTTTGGGGTGTGGCACATTAATGCATGTTCTGCCTTTCCTTGTAGGTTCATTCCATGGTGCTCCACTGTGATACAGATGAGGGGTTTATGAACAGCCTACTTGAGAGCTGAAGAGGTACTTACAACCAAACAATTAACATCAAAATTGACAGCTAATTCTGAAGACTTCTGAATCCCACAATTCTACAGTATGGTCTGTGTTACATGGTGTGTCATGTAGTGTTTCATTTATTCTGAGCACAGCCATCACGATGCCTCTTTGCAGCTACCTGCACCCAAAGCTTTTGTGAATTCAGAGTCTGGATTTTCGGTACCCCAGAGGAGGAAGACTGACTGGCCATCTTCAGAAATTGGATTTAAATGACTTCCTCAATCCCACAAATATTTCAGCAAGAATACAATCTGTTCTGTCTTTACAGTCACTTACATTCCTCCTATAACTTCAAGGCTTTGTCACAACCAATCAGGCAGAATTCTGATGAGAAAATTGTCCCATTGACTACATTCACATGAAAAATGAGGGTGTTACATTTCTTATCTTTACCAATACAAGATACAGGTCACTTTATTTTGTTTGCACTGTTCCATGTGATTAAAGAGAGTTACATTGAAGGATACTGTAAAAGAAGATGCAAATAGAAAACAATTGCATCACAAATAAAGATGTCTGGGGAAAGCGCAAATAACTCTTGGAGTTACAAGGGGGAAGCTACTGAAAAGGAACACCCTTACCCGTTTTTCAATGGCAATGACAAGGTGTTTATTGTTCTCATGCCTGAGACAATTCCAAAACTTTAAAAGGTACTGTCCTAAGGAAGAGGCTTTGACTGTGGAGTCAACAACAACTGGACATGCCTGTGGCGTTTTGTAAATGGCCTCTCCCAAACTGGACAGAGGCAAAACTGGAATAGAGAGAACTTGTGAGAACTGGGAAGGTGACATATGAGTTAAGGTTCTGGTGTCAAATCTTTGCTTTCTGTGCTGCCTGTTCACTGAGAGAATAAAACTTTGCTTTGAAGGAGCTGCCATTGAGGCAGTTTAGTTAGCTGGTGTTGCAGAACGAACTGTTGCTAAATAGGGAATTTCAGCTCATAAACACAGTTTAGAAATGACAGAATACAGTGGCGTGTTTCTGTGCAGAAAGAGTCACTCATGGCTAGGCTTTGCGAATGAAGATTTGGGAAGCAGAAAGAGTAAGTTAATGAAAATTGCTGGAGGGATGCACTTAAGAGTTGCTACCAAGACACCTCATGCTGTAATGGTGACAAGTTCCTTGATTCATTTCCTGAACCATATCCATTCTTGCACTTAATGTGGTAACTGTTCTGTGAAAAACTAACATGATTATGTAATTAAAGTCTGCTTAAAATAATGCATATAAACTGAGGAGAATTAGGGTTCTATGGGCAGCAAACCTATCATCTTCTAATGTGTGAGACTTTCGGTTTTCCAAAGTGCTGTTCTTTATGTTAGTCTAAAAAACTGAACACCTCTGCAAACTTTATGTGGAACTCTTCTAGGTCCAAATGTTTTAGGACTAGGGAAAGACCCTTGATATCCACAACACCACACACTGCCACTAGAGCTTCCTCAGGATTCATCAGCAGTAGGTTGATGTTCTTTAAATGCAGCAATCACTGGAGAAATAAAGCAAACACTTTGTCAGTGAGTTTTATAGCTTTTTTTTTATTAGTTTTTGACCACAGAGACTCTTTGGAAAGACTGTGCTGTAATACCCAAGGACTTTCTGTCTCTCACTCTCAGTCCAATCCCTTCATCCCTTTCCCTTCTCTTAAGAACCTAAGTCTTACTTCAGTAGTTCATTTTTAACTCCTGGACCATGCTCATGGTTTCTTTCTTCAACATCCTCACGTCTTTGCCTCAGTCCTACACACCATCAGGCTACTGCTCTTTCATTCTTGTCACAACCTCATCATTTTTTGCTCATCAAGTTCCACTCATCCTCTTGTCTGCACAGCTTGCATCCTAATAATGGGCTCTTCTTATCATACATGTTTATGGGTGGTACCCATCAAATCCTTGGCAAATCCTTTGCCAAATTTCAGGTATAGTGCATGGAGACTTTCTCAGTCATGCAACCCAACAATGTTTTTTAACGGAAGAAAATGTATTTTTTTTGCCAACGTCATTTTGCAAACTGACTGAACTATTTTAAGAATTAGCTTCAGGCTGACACACCAATCACAGAAAAAAAGTCATTACAAATTAGCTTGTATTTGACAGGTATAGGCATCGAAAACCAAGGTTGTATAATGGGCAATGATGGACCAACTTACCCATAGGCATTACTGTTTGCACTGCCTGTTTCTGAAGCTGAGTTTCTCAGTTTTTCTCTCAAAAAAACCATCAGAAGCAAAAGTATCAAAAGTATGATGTACTTACCATAGTTGTGGACAAAACTGCATGCTTTTTTTTTTTCCTTCTTTGCTCATTTCCCTGTAGGATTCAAGAGAAAAACCCACAATATTTCAAGAGCTTCAGTGACTGTACAATAGATGTGTCTATTTCTTTAGGGTCTTACACAGAGAAAAAACCTGAAACTCTTTCTTTCCTCTATCAATTGACTTTTTTAAGCCTCCCCAGGAGGAGAAAGAAGCCATTGAAGGGGGCAAATATCAAAGTTGAAGAACAAAGATAACAGGTCAAGAGACACTTCTGTTTACATCAGCATGCTCTGGACCAATGTACCAGAGAATACATCAAAGCCACTACTAATGCCAGCTCTGGATAGCTTTTCTAGCAAATGAAAGGTGGAAATATTTTTCTGACTACCATCTAAACTAAAACAATTGCAAAGCATTCTCATTTGATTGGGAACATTTGACCTTTCAATCTTTTGTAGTTACCTTGGCCTTATCCAAAATGAATGATGTCCATAGGAGAATGAGCCTAGCAATGTTAATATATTATATTAACTATACTCTGCCTATATAACCAAATCCTCTAGCTGTTGCTTAATTTTTTAATGTGCTAATACTTAGGTGCACTCTAAGACTATTTACAAAAATGCAAACTAACAGAAATATGTCTGTTCCTTCCAAAACATCCAGGTAGTTGATGTTCCCACACACCTCCTTCCCCTCCCTTCCCCCCTCTCTGAAAATTGATTTCCTCCATAGCATCCTTGGGAAGCAGACAGTTATGTTCATTTCCATTTTGGAAGTCAGAAGGTTTAGCGGAGAGTTTGTGTGATTTGTCCAAGGCTTTGCAAAAGCCCTAAGGCAAACTGAGAAAAGAATCCACTTCTCTTGACCTCCTTGTCTGTGTCTTGTCTACAAGGCTGCCTGTCTTCCTACCAGCTGACAGACTACCGACAAGGATGAAGGCCTTATTGATCCCATAGTTAGATGCTGAAAAAACACCATCATTTAACATCAGTTGGTTTCAGTAGGAGTCATGTCCCTTGCACAGAATTTGACACTAAAAGGTATTAATTTTTAAGCCTAAGTATACCAATATGAGAACATGCTGGTTAATAAATAACAAATGCATAACTATTTTTGTTTTAAACAAATACATAAATATAGATGTGATATATAGGGATCCTTTGACGGAGTAGGTGTACGTTACCCTTTGCACATAAAACACAGTAATACAGTAGCTCATCGGTGCACAGCGCAGATGAGAAGCCAAAGCTCCGGGTAGCTCCCAGCAGTGCAGCACAGGCAGTGGGACATGCCCCTCCCATGCCGCTCTCTCACAGAACACAGTTCCCTCTTCACTGGCTTGTCAGTCAGCACTGCAAAAATAGCAAAATCAATTGAAGTCGCTCCATTTCAGCAAGCTGAGTATGAGCAGGGGCAGACAAGTGTGCAGCTGATCACACCCCTCCTTCGTAAAGTCACTGTTTTTTCACCTCCCAACCCAATTTCAATTGTAAGACAACCTCTTAGGCCATTTCCTCTGACAGGCGGAATCCCACTCAGGGGAATTTGGACAGAGACTCTCAAAACAGCAGCGATTTGGAGCCGAGTAATCTACAGAAGAAGGAGGAGGAAGATAAGCACATTGTTAGTTCTGGTCATACGCAATCGAAGCTGACAAAGCATCCATCATCCTGTACAATATTAGCCTTTAAATATTCAGCTTTATCAGTTCGCCCATTCCTAATCCATCATTAACTACCCCATGAAGCCTCAGCTGATTAGCCCCACCTCTGCAGCTTGGCAACCCATTAACTATTTATTATTTGTATTTAATTGAACACTAGCAGCAGTGGAAAACTCCAGCCAGACACATATCAAAACCAGAACAAAGGAAATGATCGCTTGCCTAAGGAGTTCGTGTTTTGGGTAAGAGCGAAATGACAGCCATGCTGAACAAGGGCTTACCTATGTGCCCATTACTAAACTCCATACCTCACAAATCTGTAGATTTTCTATGGATTTTTTTTATCTCATATCCCTTAAAATCACAGAAGATGTGATTTGGGAGGGTCCTGCAGAAAAAAAATTAGGATTTTGTATGTTATGTGAAAAATTGGTAGAAAAACTCTACCTAAATCATGTCATAGTTACTAAATAATGACAGAACCCAGGGATTAAAGACCTAGTATGGCCAGGAAACTGGCAAACATACACAACATGCACATTTTATATGGATTTAAATAAATAAATGGAAAGATTTCTCCATTAAAGTGCTTACTTCTCAGGGACTAAATATACGTAATTTATGAAGTGTTATTTATATTTTGCTGCTTGCTATTCACATACATAATCAAAACACAGATGTAATACTAAATGTTCTTCCTGCTAGTAGGGCTGGGTTTGTTCACTTTTTTATCATTCTCTTTTTATTAGGGTGGAAGGTATATATTCTCCACCAAGGTTGGCTGCGCATTTCCTCTGAAGTAAACTTTGCAGAAGTCACTGGTGCCTTTGTTACGTCCACCTGGGTTTCTGTACCTTTCTATTTATGAGTCCCCTTTGAAGCATGCCTGAAAGATCCAGTTCCCAAGAAAGCCACTACTCACTCCCTGAGCAGTTCTGCACAGCACGAGCACTCTGCACCAGAGATTCAACACTGGCTTGCTGTTTACTGATCAACTTCAAAGCCCAGAACACCTGAGAGATCCGTTTTCTAGGGAACTTCTCTTCCTCTGTGCCCACGCACTGCCTTGCTACCAGGTGAGCAATAATGCCAGTCTGGGAATCAGATATATGAAAGTGAACCTGGATGATAAAGAAAACGGTTTTTCAATTTGAGTTAGAAACCCCAAGTTAAACAAAACCATTTGAATCTATCCTTGTAATTCTGTAATTCTGACCAAAATAATGTATTTCAAGTATAATTACATGGCTCTGGGGAAATTAGAAGGTCTTAATCTGTGTTATACTGTGCTATCAACACACTTCCCCCAGTCTAGGTAAAGCCTTCTGTTAAATATAGGTGTTTGCCAGAACTATTCCCTCTGCTTTTGAATCTATCCTGATGTCAATCCATTGGAGGCAAAGAGTAATGAATCTCAGGGTACCAGGGGTGATGCATTTATATTTACCTTGCACTTGACTCACTTGCATCTGTGCTCCCTTTAATTCCTGTATGTAAAATGCCTGCCCTCCTATTCAGTATATGCTCTAAAATAGTTAATATTTGGGCATTATAGAAATCATAGTTGCTGCTGCAGGAGGACGAGGAAGAAAACTTGATCTAGGCCAGCACAGTTAAGTAACCTATAGAAGGGAAGTTGTAAGCTACTAATGCAAAATAGAATATAAGAGTATTGAGTCAGATTAAAGGAGCATTTGCAGTAGTATACCATCTCCCATAAGAACCTGTAGGAAATGTTTCAGGGAATAGAATGAAAAATCAAGCAAGTAGAGAGAAATATATCCTGTGGTATGTCAGTCCAGCTCCCACCTGACTGCACTTTAGAGGCTTCTTGAGCCAGATGCCCTATCAAGTCTATCATGTTTAATAAATGAAAATGGAGCTATTTCCCAGATCTTCCAAGTCTGTCTCTTCTAAGCTCTTCTTTGAAGCTGTTTAGACTTTTTCTCCCCCAAACATCCCGTGGACATGTGTTCCATAGTTTTAGTGTGCATTACGTGGAAGAATCCCCACTTCATTATGTTTATTTTAAGCCTCCTAACTGCTAGTTTGCATTCAGAACCAATGAGGCATGCCCAAGCTAGTCTAAAAGAACCTTGAATACATCTCCATCCATTTCTGTTTTATTAATTCCCCTCATCTTCCTTCTTTCCTCTCTAATTCCCTCTTTTTAATCCTCATTTCTGGAGGATGTTATAAGCGATAAAGGCGTCTGATTTACAAATGCATGCCTATTACATGCCAAAATTCAAATGACCGAAAGCATGGCAGTCCTTCAGAGACCCACTCTTCCACAATGATGTCACTTACTTGTAAGTTTAGCCTTAAACTTCGGCACCTCAGTTCCTTTCTGAGCTCTTGAGTGACAGTGACCTGTTTTTCAGAGGTGCTTATCACCCACCACTTCTTGGGGGGAGCTGCAGGCATTTCACAAGCACCAGAGAACACTTTTACGCAAAACATCTGCCTGGCTCTGGGCACTCGAGTATTAAATTGTTATTCTGGATACAGCTTCACAGTGTATTGAAACAGGAAATCGTCAGCCCTGGAGTGAAATTAAGAACCTTAGGACTGGCAGTGCAACCCTTACATATGGTGATTTAAGGTAAGCACTACTCGTGAAATAAACATTACTAAATGTGAATCTTGCCATTTTTTAAGGATCAGTGGCAATTGCTACAGAGGAGAATCATCTTACAGGTTTTGTGTACTATAAATATATACATCTTTGCTATATCAGGAGTCCTGCTGGGACATCTGATTTTCAGTTTTGTATGTTTCCACAATAAAACATACCAAAACTTTAACTTACATGTTCACCTGCACAATCATCTAATAGATACACTTCCCTTTTGGCCTTTAATTTTTCCTCTTTCTCTGTTCCTCTCCTGGAATTTGCTCAGACCTATTCTGTAGCCAGAAGTGGGTGGAGGTTTATCTTCAGTGTACTCCTCTTTGCATTTCTTTTTGCTTTCTCGCCACCTTTCTATGTGTCAGCCTTGTTCCAGTTCCTCTCTGGAATGGCATTCAGAACTCCTGCTCTCACTGTTTTAAGCTGCTTTCCCACATGCTGCTTTTCACAGAACACCTTCCAGCCACTGATTTCCGAAGCACAGATGCTTGTTCACTTGCCACGATGGCAACAACAGCTCTAAAAGAAACATATCGTGTCTCCTCCTGCAATTCATGCACAAATGCCTGACATGTTCTGCCTGGAGAAAGCCTTTCAATTTCGAATTTCCTTGCTTTTGTGGAATCTGTGAAAAAGCCTGATAAATTACAGCTTTGGCAGTTATTTCAAATAACTTTATTTGCAGCCAGCTGAGGGAAAACCTATCTATGGTGCCATCCCTGTGTTCTTTCAAAGGTCATCGGTGTTTCATGAGGGAGCTCAGAGTCAAACCAGTTCAAAGGGAGGCTCACATTTCATTTTTTTCCAAGAAGGTTAGATTACATGTTCTAATGGTAACAGGACTGTCCTACAAGACATAAGAGCTGAATTCTAGTTGAGGCCACGAGTCTCTTCAAATACATGTGTTTTGTCACTTTATCTCTCTCCTGATGATTTCTCATCTGCAAAATAGCTGTAATACTAACTGGCAGTTGTAATATTAGTTGACAACAGACAAGAAGAACCCAACTAATCTTATGGGTGAAAACATTTTGAAGTTCGCCTTGGACCTTGATTTGGTGTTGGCAGTTCAGGCAAAGCCAATAAACCTCAGTCTACAGCTCCTTGCACTAGGACTCCAGAGACATTAGATGTGACACATGTACAGTATGCAGAAAGCAGTTTCTCACTTTGTCCTGGGGGATGGGAGGAAGCAATAATACAGAGCCTTGGCTCTGCAAGCCATTGCTGCCTGAGTTTGCAGGTATGGTGAGGCACCTGGGGACCTCTAGTGATACTCAGAATAAACCCCAGTGTGGCAGGGTTTGTCATGTTTACATGGGCAGGATTTCAATGCATGCTGATAGAAATATGCTTGGAGTTCCTTACCCTATACTCCCAGAACTTACCCAAAGCTGAAGTCTCATGGCAAGTCTTTGCTGGGCCGTGTGGGTGGGATGGAAATTGCATGTGACCGTCTCCCATCTGCACCTTCTGGTGACCTGAAAGGAAGTGGTGAAGACATGTCAATTCTGCTTTAACTAGTAGCACTGTGAAAAGAAATCGATAACCACACTTGAGTTCAAGAGTCTTGGATGGAGACAGATACATACACTGATCATGTTTTAAGGCAAAAAATCCTATCTGTGTAGACAAGGATTCTCAGGACTGCCTTTGAGCAAAATCTATTTTTGGTTATGGCAGTAAGAGACATAGATTATTATAATTAATGTTACGTGCATGATTTAATTAAGAAAAGCCATGCAGTTCAGGAAAACGAAATATTTCCAGATAATAGTATTACTGATTACTTAGAAGATCATAAATCAAAGCAAATTTAATAAGATGCAGAAGAATAGGCTGAAAAGAATCTCATGAATTTCAGCAAAGAAATGTGAAATCCTGCACCCAGATCAGGGCAATATTTGTAGTAATACAGGTGGGGAAGCAGCTGGAGAGCAGCTTTACAGAGAAGGCCCTGGGGACCCTGGCATTTAACAAGCTAAATATGAGCCAGTAGTGCAGCCTTAAAGCAAAGAAGGCTGGGATGTATTAGGAAGAGAACTGCTGGCAGGTTGAGGGAAGTGATCCTTCCTCTTTGCTCAGCCCTGGTGAGGCACATCTGGAGTACTGGGTCAAGGCCCAGGCTCTCCAGTGTGAAAGAGGCATGGACACTCCGGAACAAGGACAGACAAGGGCCTTGGAGATGATAAAGGGACTGGAGCATCTGATGTCTGAGGGGAGGCTGAGAAATTTGGCACTGTTCAGCTAGGAGAAGGGAAGGCCCAGGGAGATGTACAATCAATATGTATAAATACCTGACTGGGGAGAGGCAAGTAGAGAAGATGGAGACAGACTTTTTGCAGTGAAAGGACAAAGCATACATAGGCACAAATTGAAATACAGCAAATTCCACATAAACATGAGAAAAAGGGGTTTTTTACTATGAAGATGTTCAAATTCTGGAACAGGTAGCCCAGAGACGCTATGGAGTCTTCATGCTTGGAGATATTTAAAACACGAGTGGACATAGAGCCAACCTGCTCTGCTTTGAGCAGGGAGATGTCCAGAGGTCCCTTCCAATCTCTGCTGTTCTAGGATTTGCTGAATATGTGCCCCAGTCCTGAATGTATTTCTGCATTCCCAAGATATGTTTGGATTTTTTGGCAGACTTTTCACCACAGAAATGTGAAGGCATTGCCACTATGTATCAGGATGTGTAAAATGAATGTAAGTATAACTGAGAAGATCAAGAGATTGAATCACATCATGTAGGATTCCAGGGAATTACTGGCAGAAAAGCAAGCATTGCACTAGAAGAGCAATTGTCAAATAATGATGTGTCAAAGCACAACTTTACCCAAGTCTAAATCATTAGTACACGTCAGTGTAGGTACCTTGACATGTTTCTTTGGGTCCAGGAAACAAACGAATAACCCACTGTATCTTGTATTTGCAATGCAGGGGGTAATTTAGACAAAATAATGTAATGTTTTTGAACGCACGACAAGAAAATTAAGGATGAAGAAACTCCAGAATGACTTTCTGAATGAAAAGAACCTGCAATTGCTTTCCATCCCTTGACAGATGTTACTTAAACTGACATACTATATCATGCAACAAAGCTCATAGGGGAAATACAGGATTAAGAGAAAATGTATAAACCGCTATCGTTATTGCAAAAGATTCTTTTATTCTTCACAGAAAGACGAAGAGACGAGGGATGACTTTTAGGAAGAACTTGATGTAGATTACTGTAACAATATTTTCAGGAATCAGCACAATTAATCTATTAAAAAAAAAGTGAAGTTAAAAAGAAGGGAGAAGTTTCTGCTGTTTCCCAATCCTACACAACTTCTCCCCCTTGCCTTACGTCATTGTAGCATCTGGTAGACTTACACATTTAATAAAGTAAAACAACAAGACTCTCTCCTGCCTTTTTCTGCATGGAGAAGTAAAAGAATGGGAAGAGGTGGAAACAGTAATTCTAAAAAAGTTATAGGTGAAGAAATGAATGTGCCTTGGCTGTAAATATTCTCAGTTCACCTCAGAGGGAGCTTTACAGCTGTAGGACTGCTGCAGAGGGAATGAGTCTCCACCTCTCACTGGTTTTGCTTCTAACTTTGACAGTTCCCTGCTTTCAATATATGTGAGAAACAGGGGCACAGCACACAGAGAGTAGGAGGGTATCTCAGGTCAGAATTGTGGGTATCAGCCACCAGGAAAGAAGAAGCCCTTAAGAAAGTAGGGCTTGGTATATGCTCTTACCAACCTGTATGACAAAGCAAGCAGATCACTGTTTTGGACCAAATGGACCTTCAAAAGATTCATAAAATCTCTTTTGAAAAGATTAATTTCATTCTGAGGTATAGGCCTTAATCATAATGGAGTCTAGAGGCTGTAAACCCATAGTTTGTCACAGCAAAGTTATAATACATCTAAGTTTCTTGCTCATCTGTGTGTCCTTAATTTCCTTCTACCTGATCTTTGGCATTATATTTAGTATGAAAGCATCACAGAAGAGTCACTGAATAACCATAGTGATAGAGCGTAGCAGTAGACAGATAATAAAGATTTTTCCCCAAAGTCAATACTGGTGTCCAGGGCATATTTTTACTAATTTGGTTTTTAATGCATTGCTACCTTTTAAAAGGTTTAATATTGATTGATTTTTAATGGTGTGGGTGTTTTCTGATGCTAAAGACTTCTTCTTGCTTACTTTTGGTGTGGGGAACATGAGAAATTAAACAAGAAACAAAAATACATTGTAAAAGAAGACTTGAAAATATTTAACAAAAAAATCAGAGCAACAAGTTAACATTTCTTTCTGTTTATCAAGTTATGTGAAGATTCAGGCCAGAAGAGCAATTGTTATTAATGATTTCATGAGTTAAATAGTTTCTCTCTGTTTGCCAGAACTTTAAAAAACATTAACAGTATTAAGGCTCTGCCTTGCCATTAAACTGTACAGATTTGACACTGATACCCTAAAGGAGCACAAAAAATGAAATATTAATCAATATCAAAATACCTCCAAACATTTCCAGACCTTTGTATTTGGAAAGCCACCACAACTCCCATTACAACTGCTATACTGTGTCTGCTTTGGAGAGGCTACCTCTTGCCATGTTGCGGAACAGCCTCCAATCGTCTAAGAAAACTCTGGATTGAGATTAGTATCCACAGCAGAAAGGAAGCTACAGATACTACTGTGTGTGAGTAATGCTGTGGGCGTTTGTCCAAGCTCAGGAACGAGTGGAATGTGCCCCTTCTCAAAGATATGGGTGAAAAAACATCACTGAAGTGGAAGTGGGGATTGGGTGGAAGTGAAGCAAGGGAGAAGTTCACATATATGTTTTCCATGTGTACAAAAATGGCTGGGTGTACTTAAAAAAACCTCCCAAATATTGGGAGCCATTTTTTTAATTATTCAGTGCATTTATTTGCTTCTAATGGCACAAATAATCTATCTCCTGAGCATGCTATACAAAAAGTCAGAGGAACATTTCCACTTCAAGTCAAACGAAAAAAAAATCAACATAACGGAACTTTTCTGTGAACACACATAATTAATTTCTTTGTTTAATTAAACACTCCAGCAAACCAAATACCTGAATTTAAATTGCTGTTTATTATGGCTTCCCCTCGGATACAGGTGAAAGAATGCATAGACATATGTTTTCCACTCTGACTGACACCACTAAGCAACCTGATGGAGAGCTGACAACACCCTGGCAAGTAGGGAATAATAAGGTAAATTATCAGCAATGTGAAAAGAACCCAGTTATGAGCCGCACCTTTACTTTGGCCTGCAACGTCTGGGGCTGTTACTTGGGGAAGAAAAAAAAAAAAAAAGAGAACAGCCTCCCTTTATACCTTCAGCTTTCCCCCGTGTGTGTGAGTGTACGTGTGGGTTTATACGTGCATAAACGCACGCAGACTGGTGCTTAAACACGTTTCGGTGTCCGAGGCTCCATGATGCGTTTCCCGCTGTGCTGAAAAGGAGCAGGACAGGAGGGGGAGCT